AATCTATATGCTAATGAAAGTGCGGCCCGGCGGCCCAGAGTGGGTTAAATGACCTGCCCCAGAAATTGATTGTATTAGTAAATATATCCCTCTTTTAGCACAGCCATGTGCCTTGGGTGTGGGGTGCTGATAAGAACTCTCCGTAGGGAGAGATATTATGGAGTGCCTGGAAGCGCGTGGGACTTTGGTAATATATCAATTTTTGGTTCCCTCTGACTCTGACTCCGACTCTGTTTATCGCTTCCACCCAGTCCCCATGCTTTAGCCATTTGCATTTGTCGCTCAAGTCGTTATTTGTTCGTTATTCTGCGATAACAGAAATTGCCAACAGGTTGGTTGCCGGGGGGTAAACATATATCATATAGTATGTAGAAGAAACAAAGATCTGCCAGAAGAATGCATGGGTTGTTTAACCAACTGTTCTATGGCTTAAATTACTCTCGCGGGGTATTTATTTTCGTTCAAGGAAAATAAAATACAATGTATTCTGTTGAATGAATAGGTTTTCTGATTTTCAGTGGAAAGGGTTTGTAAATGTGGCTCCAAATGTTTATGGCTAGTGTTCGTTGCCAACAGACGATCATAATATTGATTACACCTTCCCCTAGCCTCATTCGCGTGTTTAAATTTGTATAGAATAAATAAGATAAGGGCTATCTGGAATCAATTTTATACAGATTTTATTACATTTCAAGCTCTAGAGATTGTAAACTGGGTTGATAACTCACATGAAAGCTACACCAATTTGAAGGTACGACAGAAAAGAGTTTAACTTTTTTTATAAATGCCTTTAATGCATTCGAAAATGTATGAAAGATAGTCGATTCGAGGCTATGAAGATTATGATTCCCCCTTTTGCCAAAGAAATGAAGATACGTCTTATCTTCAAGTATTTTAAGTGGGAATTTATGAGAAGCTTACTTTGTTACTACTTGAGCTGCTTTTCCTTTCATACTGCTTGTTGGACTACCTTCATTGAACTGCTTGATATGTCATCGATAACTCACTGAATCGATTAATCAATATTTAAATTTGAAATCATTGATGAATCATTAATAATCACGCAAATACCTCCACCCTCCTCCATTTCAGATCCCCCCATTGTAGCCGAGCCGCAGGAGAACCTCCAAGTGCCACACTTTCTGCCAGATCCACGAGATGGCAGCATCTATCAGCTGGGGCAGATGGGCAGCCTCAAGAAGCTGCCTTACACCATACCCCAACTGGTGGCCAATGCACCGTGTCGCTCCTCGGACGGGATACTGTACTCCGGGAAGAAGAGCGACACCTGGTACATGGTGGACCCGAAGACAGGCAGACGCGAGAAGGTCATGGGCTTTGGGGATGCCACAATGGATGGCAAGGAGGGCGAACAGATTGGCTGGGCCACCTCGCGGGCCATTTATTTGGGCAGAACACAGTACACAGTGATGATGTTCGATAGCTTGGCCAAGGACAAGAATGCCAAGCCATGGAATATAACATTTTATGACTACAATGCGCTGAGTGCGCCACCAGAATTGGTCAAGGAATATGGTAAATAGGAGAAAGAATCTTCAGTAGCATTTCCCTGGCTAATACATTTTTGGTTTCCGCAGAATACATCCACTTGACGACCACCACAAATGGACAGATCGTGACCCTAGATCGCAAACATGGGAAATTCTTGTGGCAGCGAGATCTGAGCAGTCCCGTAGTGGCTGCCTTCCTGCTGGGGCCCGATGGGCTGCTCAGTGTGCCTTTTACCACGCTCTCGGATGAGGCCTATCAGGCGATACTCGAGGAATCCAAAACAGGGAATGTAAACACCGTGAAACTATTGTAAGTCGGAGGTTAGACCATTTCCTTGACAACTTTCCTAATGAGTCTATAATCTTTCAGTCAATCGTTGTATGTGGGCGAGCACCAGAGCGGTTTGTATGCCATTCCCTCGCTGGTGGACAAGAATACGGCCAGAATATCGACCACACCACCCGTAAAACTCCTCGATGGACCCGTTGGGGAGCAAAATACCAACAAGGAAACGGATCCCAAGACCGTTTACATCAATGATGTGCTGCGCGAGCACTCGGGCATCATGTTGGGCCACTATAATATGCCCAATGAAGCGAATGCCAATCTGCAGCTATCCCCCACGCCAGCGGGTGGCAAAGATGTCCAGAGTCTGGCGACTATCGACAACTATAATGATGGCTATGGGCTGTTGGCCAACAATGAGAAGAATGCCGCTGATATTGGCGTGCAAACGGATCCGGAACTGGTGGAGATTGGCATTAATCAGCGGACAAACAGCAATACCATCAATCGGACAAAGACCATCATCCTGCAGAACAGCAACAAGGTTCAGGCCTTCATCAATGAGTGGTTCATGGAACATCCAAGCGGAAAGGTCCATCAGATACTGATTGTGATCGTTCTGGGTATGATTGCCTTGTTCTGGTACACCTGCAGCACTATGCGGGAGCTGCAGAAGCAGAGCGAAAATGGATCCAAAACGCTGGCCATGACTGCGGATGGCATAAACGGAAGCGGCAGCAAGGGGAGCAATGGCAGCAACATCAGTGCCGAGGATCTGGTTGATCTGGGCAATGGCCAGGTGCGTGTCGGAAAGATTAGCTTCAATTCCAACGAAGTACTGGGCAAGGGCTGCGAGGGCACTTTCGTCTTCAAGGGGTCTTTCGAGGAGAGGTCTGTGGCCGTCAAGCGACTCCTTCCCGAATGCTTCACCTTTGCGGATCGCGAAGTGGCGCTGCTACGCGAATCGGATGCCCATGAGAATGTTGTACGCTATTTCTGCACCGAGCAGGATCGTCAGTTCCGCTACATAGCCGTGGAGCTGTGTGCCGCCACGCTGCAGGACTACACCGAAGGCGATCGTTCGGTGGAGCTGCAGAATCACATTGATGTGTGGCAGGTTCTGGGACAAGCAGCCTCCGGATTGAGTCATCTGCATTCCCTGGACATTGTCCATCGTGATATCAAGCCACAGAATGTTCTGATCTCCCTGCCCGATGCCAGGGGCAAGGTACGAGTGATGATCTCTGATTTTGGTTTGTGCAAAAAGTTGAACTTTGGAAAGACAAGCTTCTCCCGTCGGTCGGGCGTTACGGGAACAGATGGTTGGATAGCTCCCGAAATGATGAGGGCACAACGAACGGTACGTCCGTCTGCAGATCTTCCTTTGGGATCTCTTTTAAAGTGCTTTTTCTGTTACAGACCACTGCTGTGGATATCTTCTCGCTGGGCTGCGTCTACTATTATGTCCTGAGTGGGGGACATCATGCCTTTGGAGACAATCTAAAGCGCCAGGCAAACATACTCTCGCATGAGTACAATCTGTCGAAGCTGCGTTCCGATGATGACAGCGACAATAGCAAGACTGTAAGCAGAAAAATGCCTGCCTTCAAGCGTTCTCTTCATTAATTTTCTCTTCCTTTCTTGTAGGTTCTGGCTGAACAACTGATTTCCGACATGATACACAAGGATGCCCAGTCGCGTCCTCCCGCACGCTGTATAGGCAATCATCCTTTGTTTTGGGATGAGCCCAAAATGCTCTCCTTCCTGCAGGACGTGAGCGATCGTGTGGAGAAACTGCAGTTCCATACCGAGCCCCTCAAATCGCTGGAGAAGAATGGCCGGATTGTGGTCTTGGACGATTGGAATGAGCATTTGGATCCCATGATCACCGATGACCTGCGAAAGTATCGCGGGTATATGGGCGCCAGTGTGAGAGATCTGTTGAGGGCGCTGCGCAACAAGAAGCATCACTATCATGAGCTGACGCCAGCGGCCCAGGAGATGCTCGGCTGCATACCGCACGAGTTCACAAACTACTGGGTGGAACGCTTCCCGCAGCTCATCTCGCACGCGTATCACGCCTTCAGTATTTGCTCGAACGAGCCCATCTTCAAGCCTTACTACAGTGCTGGCTATCATTTTTCGCGTCCCTGGTACTTTGAGGCCGACGATGCGCTCTTTCCCCTGCTGATGCGGGATCCCAAGCCACTGCCGAAGATTGGCAGCCCCAAGAAGACGCCTCCATCCACGGCCAGTCAGCAGCTGCAGCAGCAGTTGAAGCTGCGCAAGGGTTCGTATAATTTCCGCAAAGCCAGCGATGAGCTGCCCATCGCGGGAGTCGGTCTGCAGCGGAACCTAGAGCTGGACGCCAGCCACCAGCCCCTGGCGCTGGAGGGTGATCCCAAGCGGGATGTGTTTGCCAATTTCAAGTTCCGTCGCTCGAAGGCGTCCGCTAATCGCAGCACCTACAAGGACACGCAGGAGAAGGAGAAGTACGTGAGCTGGACTTTGCCGCCCACAACACAGGACTAGGATACACACAGATTCATCAATTATTTATGATTTAAATGCAATCATTTATTGATTCATTAATTTTATTAGTATATATTTTTAATAATATTTTTTGCAATTTGTGTATATGCTGCAAAAACTATTCCAAAACCAATTCCCAATAATTCAGTAGCAAAAACAATGTGCAATGATGGAAGGATATATATATATATTTTGTATACCAGAAAAAAGATAGATGATGTTAACAGAGCGGATAATGGTAATGATAACGATAACGATATAGGATCTATAGGGTGTAGCATCGTCGTCTGACGAATGCACGCAATTTAACTGTGATAATTTTTATTTTTCTGTTTTTGATATAGTGAAAAAATGATCTAGACAAATACCGAATTATATACTTAGATACTATATTTATGCATTAGTTAAGTGCTGTACCCCCTGCTGTACTTCCGGGCAGGACGTCCGTACCCTGACGAGCGGAATACCTAATTCTAAAAATCACCTTAGTATTAATTTTTGAGAGAAGTAAAAAGGATTGGAAAGAGACACATCTCTATGCGATTTTGAATTGAATGCATTTTCTAGCAAATCTTTAAGTCTTAATCAAAATGAAAAACTAAATAAATATTTAATAAAAACATGAAAAAACAATTTATTAATTATGCTATAACAAAGGGATTTCAACAACATTTTCTAGGCATTTTTCATAAATTTCATAAATAATTCGATGCATTAACAATGGTTTTTTAAATACATAGTTTCTATACAAGAGATTTTGATTCTTTAGAAGAAAAGCAATATTCGCAACTAGAATTTTTGTTTTGTTTCACTTTGGCGTAGATTGATTCCTCCCTCCCTCGAGTGGCATTGCCGCGATCCAGCCTTAGTTGGAGGACTTCATTAGGGTCTTCATCTCCTGGCGCACACAGAACCTGAAGGCATCCCAGCCCTCGGACTTGGCCACAGACTGTAAGGATTGATTTTGGATTAGTTAAAGACCGGGAGGCGGTGATGGCTCACAAAAGAAAAGTGAAAATGGGGGAGACACACAAGTGATTGGGTGGCAGAGAAAAAGCAAGTGAAAAGCAAAGAATACTGTGGGTTTGGCGGCACCCACTAACCTCCGCATCGCCTTGGGGCTCGAGCGATTCAAGGGATACCTCTAGACGTTCGTCTAGATCGGGAACATCCTCTTGCTAAGGAAAAGAAAATATAAGCAGCTAAAAAACTATATAGATGGTCGCAAAAGGTACACAAATCAATGGAAATGTTGAAGATTTTAGTGAAAATAAAACATATTAACAAATTCCTTACATTTCGATGTTTTTTTCAGGAAACAAAACCAATAAAAATCAAATTTCTTGTGCAAATCAGAGTTTAATGATTGTATGGCCAATTTTTAAGTAAAAATTAATACTAAAATTAATATGAAATGTGCTTGCTTTTGTTAAGAGATTTTGAATTAACTAAGAAAAACATTAAGCTTAGAGCTAAAAACGCTTACAGGCAAAACGAAAGCACAATCAAATGAGTAACAAAAACAGTGAGATTAGAGAGAGAGCGCAGGACATTCGGTTATAAAATGATACAGCAACGAGCAACTAAACGAGTGATTTAATTAAGCTAATTAGTGCCAAAGCGCATCGCTGTCAATGAAGTAGTCCAAGTGCCGGCAGACGCGATGGCGCCAGGCCACAAATATGGGATAATCGGGCTCGTCATAGGCGTCCAGAGCCTCGTTGTAATCAAAGAAACGACCACTTACTTTGAAGCCGCGATGCAGGCGATCCTTCATGATGGCAATGAACTCCTTGTAGGACAACAGACCATCGCCATCTGCATCGAATATGGCAAAGACAGTGTCAATCAAATGCTGACTGAGGCTATAGCCCGTGCAGATTTTCACAGCGCGTGAGAATTCCTCTGAAAGAAGGGAGAATAGATTGGGTCTCTGCAGAGAGTAAAGGATATATAGACGCACCCTTCGAAATGGCCCGATCGGCCAGCGTATACATTCGCATGGCAATTGTAAAGTCATCCAAATTGTTGAGAAAATGACAAAAGTCACGGAAATCATGAAAGGTTATGCCCTTTTCATCTTTGACACGCTCCAGCAGTCGCTCCAGGAAGACATCGTACTCATCGGTGGCCAAATATGTGTACCGCAACAGAATCTTGGCAAAGTCCAGCTCACTGATGATGCTGTTGCCCTTGGAGAACTCATGGAACTCCAGTTCCAGCACCTCCGTTTGCAGATTGTCCATGAAGCGATAGAAATTGTCATAGTTGATGACGCCAGTGCCGCGTTTGCCGAAGAAATGCAGCTGCAAAGTGGTCGGAACCACATGACGGCGCTGCAGTCCCTCGCCGTCGTTGACATAGTTCTTCTAGGAATGATTAAAGGCAGAAAGGATTAGCAAAACTATGGGCTCTAACCCAGAACTTGTTAGTCACACTCTGGGGACGATCTCATGCTTGGGATTACCTCAATGGGTGGCACTTCATGCTCGAGCTCCGGGGACTCTTGCTCGCCGTGCTTCTCCTTCCAAGCGCCGCTGAAAATGCGCTCCATCTGGGATATGTACATGCCGGCATGGATAGTATGGATTTGTGTTTTGGGGTTTTTGGGTTTTAGAGAGAAGAAAAGTTAGGGGGGTTTTATTTTTAGTGAGGATTATGGTTTGTGGTGGGAATTTTTGATAGTTTTGGGGTGGGGTATAAAAAACGATAAACGCAAAAGAACATTAAAACAAAAGTAACTTCAAAGGCAATACAAAAGGTATACTTAAGCAACAGCATATATGTACATATAGACATATGATCTATAATTTAATGTAACGTAACAACGAATATCAACAGAACGTAGCATAACACAACGTAAGCGGAGGACTTAGGCGACTTTGAGGCATATTTGGAGCCTGGTTTTTTTTGCTCTTGAAGCGAAGCCAACACAATTGTTTACGGATTTATTCTCCCACTTACAAGACCCTTCTTGGCCATGGGCATACGGCTATTCTGCATCTCTCTTTGCTCCTCATAGGACACTAAACGCGACAGCTAGCGATACGATTGGATTGGGAGGAGGAGGAGGATACACATGAGGTTTAACAAATAAAACAAATTATATATCGGATAGAAAAATAAATGGAAATCATATCTTAATTGCAAGGTGTCTGAGTCTCTGACTGTCTGTTGGTGCTGCTTACATCCATTGCCCTAGGGCTGGCTTTAACGAATTTCCATTACTTCACAATTAATTCGTATTAAATGATAGACTTAAATTAAATTAAATGAAAGGAAACACAAACAATGCTTACAATTCTTTTGGTTTGGGGATCAATATTTTGATTCTCTTTAAAGGCGCCCGCCAAAATGGAAACTATCTAATGAATAAACGCATTATAAATTATAAGTAAATCATACGATAATCAATGGGAAATCAATAGAAAGAACCCATGAATGGTAGGGGTAGCAGTCACCCACTATTTACCACTAGAAATTCTTCTTTGTCCACGCGCTGATTGCCGTCTGTGTCGAACATATTGAAGGCAATGCGAAAACCAGATTTGGGCTCTATAAAATTTAGATGTTAAAGTATATTAAATGGGATATTCTGAAGATTTAATCATGGATCGTCTTACTTGTCAGTATAGAGAGCAGGAAAAGGTATTCCGTGTAGGAGACAATGCCTGGAATTCAAAAGAAAAGTTTGTTATGAGAAAATGTGCATATAAACCATCCGTTTTGGAGCTTAAAGAAATTTTCAAAGTAATGTATATATGCCATATAACTATAATCTAGTTTTCTATACAATTTTAGCAACTTTCTATGATTTTATTTTATTACAGAAACTTTTTTCATGGCTTTAAGACATCTATCCCATACATTATTCCAGGTTTTTGCTCTATAAAGCTTTCAATAGAGGCAGAATCCTATCGATTCATATGGTCTTAGTCTCTTCTTAATGTGGAAGACCGTTCTATATGACTAAATTCTTGAATTTGATCGTTTTGATGGTCCTAAACAACAATTTCACATATTTCAAAGGTGACAAAGGTCACATTCAACGCTAGAGACTGTATATTTCGCAGAAACCTTAATTTAAATTTAATTTGAAGCTATTTAAGGCTTCCATCAAAACAAATTTATGGCGATTCTTATTTTCTTTGAGTTCTAAATATAATATTGATGTATTCAAGGCCTTAAGGCTCGCATTAGATCATCATTTGATGCAAACCATATATCCCTATTCTCTTTAAGCTCCAAAAAGACTCTACTGATGTCCTTTACCCTTATCTCTCAAATTGCGGAACAAACGCGTGGAGCCCTTCTTCAATGCAGGTGTATTTTCCTTGTATTTGTCCACCTCATCGCTGGACAGCTGTCGGCGCTTCAGACGTGCTATGAAAACAAAGTATAATTAGTAGAAAAATGCATTAAAAATATCGAAAAAATAGCACTCACGTCTGGGCTCTTGTTCTACCACCGACTCTAGGAAGTCCTGGGGCGTCATGTACAACTGATCGTCGAACTCCACGGAGGCAAATTTGATGAAGCGACGCTCCCGTGCCGTAAGCTTCACATTCTCCAGCTCGCTATCATCGCGCTGAAAAAAGAGTGGAAGATGGAACATTGAATCAGTGCCAAATCGAAAGGATTGTTAAAGGTAACTTGATATGCCATGCCTGGCCTGGCCTGTACTGGTGGGGGCATGGCATACTCTCGTATAATTGAAATAAATCAATGGAATGATTGGATCGCGCCACGAACACTGATATTTCCGCCGCTTGGTCACAAAGGCAGACCCAAAGCCGAGACAACAAAAGCTTTTGGGGGATCTGCTCCGAGATCTCTGAGGTCTGGGGTCTCCAATCTGGTGACGTTTTGATTAATGCCTGCCTGCCCCCAGTGGGAAGGCCTCCAACTGCTCTCAGAAATATTAATTTGATCCGGTTTTCGGATCGTACATGCACCGATCTTTTTGCATTTAAATTTAATTTGAATTTTGAATTTTTGACGATCGACTGGACAGGATTCCCACGTTGTGTGTTTGCGCCTTTGGGCAAATAAAGTGTCAAATTGATTTTGAGAACATCCTCATCCCAATAAATCTGACACTTAATGCCACCCACAAAACCGAAAAAAATAACGTGTAATCTAGACCCTGTCTCGTAGGGGGGCCCACAGGAATGACTCAATTGTATTTTATTTGTGGTGCAAAGACAACTCCCAGGCCATAACTCTACTCCTCCTGCCACAGACACTCATTCCGAACAAAGGCCAATTTGAATGTTAGACATGTGCATGCAGCAGCGGCAGCAGCCACGCCCACGCTTCAAGACCGAAAAAACCAAAGACCAAAACACCAAGAGGCCACAGATACAATTCTTCATAAAGCCAAAAGCTGACATCATTCGGCAGGCTGCAGTCGGTAGGAACAGTAGTTCAAAAGTCAAAGAAGTAGCCTTAGAAATTTACCAAACGGTGTAAGATATAGGACACCGATTCAGTAATTTTGTATCGATGCAAAATAAAGTATTCTGCAAAAACATTTTGGTGGGTTTTATTTGTAACTAAAAGAAGTAATTTATTAAATTTTTTCATTAAAAAAATATTTGAAAATGGCAGTTTCAACTCCCGCCAAAGAAGCTTCCACTCAAGGCAGGAAAGTCTCAAGAAAACATTTCTAGAATATGGCTTGAAAAATTAACAAAAAGATCATTTCTTTGAGAAAGAACTATGCGAAGAAAAGAGCATATTTGTTGAGCACATAGTAATGATGCTCACATGAACATTTATTTGTGTGCTCGTTACTTAAATTCTGTTATTTTACAGATGTTAGAAAGAGATGATTTTTGAAACAATGCCTACGATGAAATGGTCCCTAATTAAATCTTTAACATTTTGAACCTCTTTTATCTGCAAACACTTTCTTCTAATATTTGCCTTATTTCTTTCCCAGCTTCTTGGTCAGATATCCGTGGCTTTGGATCCACTGTGTTGGTGGACCTGGTGGAGATCAGACAACAAGGAGAGGAGATTCGATATAGCTGCAGGCGCTGGTGGCTTTATAGGCAACAATTAAAACTCATTCATCATCATCAGGCGCAGTCGTCGGCGCAGTTGTCATAACACACATGTCAGGGACAAAAACTGAAACCAAAATCAAAACCAAAACCAAACTCCGGATTGAAGCTCAGGCCACGCCTGTGTCTGGCATTGGGTACATACATTTTGTGGGTGTATCAGATCCAGCAACCAGATCGATTGATAGAATAGATAAATTTGTCAGTAACTGGCATTCTGTCAGCATTTCGGTACAGCCGCCTGCAGGTGCGTGGGCGTATCCGTATCATAACTACTTTGCCACTTCATCATATCATATCATATATCTCCTTGTCGCTGCTGTTAATGCATTTTTCAAGGTGTGTGGCATGTTTTCGTACGAATTTGTGGCACTTACAATGTGGCATTATGGGTATTTGATCTTGAGATACGCAGAAAGATGGGGTGATCTGTCTGGAATTTGAAGATTCTGCCGACAAGCAAATTAAGATTTGGGTGGGTAATTTGATATTCCTTTAGGAAGGAAGCAATCAAGTCATTGTTGGACAAATCTATTGAAATATTCAATATTCATATTCATGAGGTGTTTGCCATCTTTTCACAGGAAATATCAATGGGATTTCCTCAAGCAACGATCACCATCAATAAAGGGCTTCCCCTACCTCCATTAACATGACTAATAATGACCATACAAAGTACTTTGGAATATAATCCTCTATCTCTCACCTACTTCCAAAAGCTCTGCTCTGATAAGCAATTGCTCAAAGACCAACCTCCACTCCTACCACCAATGTAAATATTAACATTTCACACCACAAATCGAGGAAATACTCGGGGGTCTTATCTACGGAGACACCCTCTGTAGGGCGGCACGCACCTGCAGTCAGCGTCTGTCTCCCCCCCCCCCCCCCCCCCACCCCACCCAGAGACAATGTCAACAGGTTGACAAATGACGTGCGGGTAAATGTTGCTGCTTTAAGGGGGCTTTTGTTTTTGGCAGAGGGTTCCCTTGGAACTCAATTAGTTTACCAATATTTGGCCCGAAAATTAGCATAGATCTTTTGTATGATTAAAAGAGGCATATAAATCGGAACCAGCATGATCGGAACACTATATCATATAGCTGCCATACAAAAGATCCACCTGTTAGGGTATTAAAAGGTTCGACTCCCAAAAAGCCACCCCTCCTCCCTAGCAATTGTTGTTTCATTGAACTTGGACACGCACCGACATGAATAACAAAAACGACAACAAAAATTACAACATCCAAGTGGAGTGGTGGAATGATAACGACCCTGAACCAAATTTCTGGGTTTTCCTACGTGTAAGCCCACGGAATCCATAGATCGAAAGGAACTTGACATTAAACAGCTAATTAAATCATTGATTGGCTAATTAAAGCCTAAATGAACTCGTAAAGATCGAAAATAGTGCAGCGAATGCCGCGAGCACAACAAACCACCTGAAAACAGCTGTTGGCTAACGTAACGAAGCGAGCAACACAGTCGCAGCACAGCGTAACGTAGTAGTGCCCCAATCTAAAAATAGCTGCGCGAGTCTTTTTACGTCCAAGATTATTGACTTTTTTCCCAACAGGCACTCAACTTTTTTCCCACTATTCTGTTGCGGTTTTTTATGGACATATTTACCATGCGTTTCTTCAGGCTAACTGCATTCACGGTATTGTCCAGGGCACGGAGCTTTATGAATGCAATTACTGCCGCCACGGAAATTGCACTGCCGCCCAGCAGCGACAGCAAGCGATGCGTTCGTTTGCTAAATCCACTTGTGTTCACCGGTCCACTCGAGTACTTGGCATATCTGCACACTGTCACGCCCACATTTGTGCGTTGCGTGACTAGTGCGCCCGTTTTAACCGTTATTCTAGCGACTAAATTAGCCATTTTAGTCCGGGTCGAGGAAAAAAAACCGAAACAGTGACAAATAGAAAGACGTAACGTAAGCGCGGTTGCCTTGCCTACGTAGTAGGCATAGGGTTGCCAGATGGCAGCACATGACTCAGAGTTGCATCTAGCCGGAGGGCAGATGGGCGCGGAATTTAAATTTCGGTAAGTGATAAGGGGAGTCTTTTTTTATTTAATGAAACATGAGCGGGATATTTTTAAGATTCAAAGAATAACCGCAAAAAGAAATATTTTTAAATTTATAGAACAAACAAACACAGCCAAATCGGAAATGAGTAAGATTTGGCGCCTATTTCGCAATACAAATCTGCATATTATACCCTTGACTGGTTCGCAGAAAATGGGACTACGTGCACAAGTCCACACAGAACCGCAGAAAGTACATGCCTCAATTCCAGAAGCAATTTAAAATTAAAAATCCTGGCAACGTCAATTGTTGCGGTTTTTCGCTTTTGACGTATTTTCCACTTTTCCAGAACCTCACCTTCAGATATTTTTGGCACAAAACTATTGTATTTTTGGTTATGTTTTATGGTGCATGACCAAAATGTTTGCCAATGACGCGTCCGGCCCGGGCTCTACGCAAACGAATGCGCGTCAAGAGGCCAAAGTCCCAGCGAATGAGTCACTTGGGGGATAAGAAATATGACAAAAATGCAACTAGAAATCAATAAAAATGTCGAAATATTTTATGGGGAAAAACAAACGACAATAAAATGATCTAACGACGAAAAAAAAACCTGTTGCACCATCGAAAAATTCAACAGAAATGTTGTTTGTTCTTTGGAAAATATCAATTTCATTTGATCGGCGAAACCTTATACCCCCTACCCCCCCACTCCCTATCGCTATGTCTGTCTCTCAGGTGAATCCCCCTGATAGTTGACACTTTTTTTACTCTGAATGAACTCTTAATCTATCGCGGGTCGTCTGAGAGTCGCAGTCGAATCGATCTTGGCTCCAGCTTCCTCTCTGTTTCTCTCTCTCTCTCTCTCTCGGGTTTCGTTATGAGCTCGTAAATTATTTGTTTCAATTTTTTAACTGCAGCATTTCCAGAACCATTTCCTGCGAAAGTTGTAAAAGAAGTAACCCGGGACTCGGACTGAGGTCCGAGGCGCCACTCCAATCGATTCGAAAAAGCCTCCGAAAGATCCGTTTGCACACACATAAAAATTGTGTACGTTGACGCCTTTCCTTCCTCCGAGTTCTTGTAAATATCCTCCAGGCAAATACAATATTCGATATTTTGGTTGGTAATAAAGTTGTTTCAATTAGGGCTTCACAAAAAAAAAGATACACATATATATATATATTTGTATCTTGGTTCTGGTTTGGAAGCCAGCCCTCGAGGGCGTGGCTCCTCTTCTGTTTTTTTTTTACCAGTTAATTAGTGCTTTTTTCTGGAACTGGCAATGGTCTTTAGGCCCTGCGATTAGGTAATGTTTCAAAAGGAGCACAATTTTGGGTTCGTTCGGAAATTCCTTTTGGGGTTTGCCGCATCATTTAACGGTACCACATGAAATTGATATACGAGGCTGACATTCAAAAAAAGATGAGAATCCGATTATTGATTTCATTGGAAATCGGTGTGTTCTGCTACAGAAGTATTCTGTGTAGATGATATCATTTTTTGAGATAAGTTCAATGTCAATCATTTGAGAGAAAGGGCCCACCTGTTGAGCGAAGTTCACTCGAAGTTCATTGAATTGTAATTAAACAAAAAATATATACAAAAAGTAATAACAAAAAAGTCAAGAGCGAAGGAGGAGGGACCACACACAGGCGCTACAATAAATCTCATTGGCACATGCGGGGGGAATGAATATTGGTAGAACGAACTCTTGGATCTCTGATGCATCACCCTTCAAGAGAGAGAGGAAAAGGGTGCCAACTTCTTACCTAAGGATGGCTACCAAAACACACACAGAAAGACAGAGAGAGAGAGAGAGAGAGAGAGAGAGAGAGATGGGAAGGAGAGACCGGTTTCTGGTTGATTTATGCCTTGCCCCTGGGTCATCATCATCATCATCCAGGGACCCATTCCCAGCCACAAATAGAAGCCGCTCCAATTACATCACTCAAAACTACAGTTAAGGTGGGACTGGAAATGGAAATGGAAGGAAAACACTCACTTCACACTGCAACTGGAACGTCGTTTGGCTGTCACATTAGGCCCCACTAATCAGACAGATAGCCAAGTTTATCGCCTGGACAAGATCTTCAAAGGATTACCCAGTCTAGACTCTGGAACTATGTGCTCCTTAACGGTTGTGCCGGTTTTTGGCCAACTTTATGACTGGAATACCAGTCGCACGAACAAGCATCCAGTCTCGCTCCGAAATGCTCTTTTGTTGTCTCTCGATTCGATCGTCTTTGATTAAGTTCTGATATCTTTTCGAAGGGGTAACCTTAGGCTCCGGTCCAGAGTTCTTTTTTGTTCAATTTTTATTAATTGTTATTGCCGAGAAGTTCCATAAATTTACGTAGAACAGAGACCGATAGATGGCGGCCGTTCCACTGATTTTGTTAATAGCCCAGATATTGATATCGATTTCGTTAGCAGTCACCAGAATAATAAAAATTGCTCACATTTACGAGTAGTAGATTGTAGGATGAAAGGCGATCTATTGACTGAATCGCTGGCATGCCCCAACAGACACAATGAGTGATTGTGGGAGCACCACCACAAAAGAATGTTCAAAACCAAAAGACAAGAAGCTTTTCGAAATTTGAATTTCGTTAGATAAGATTTGGGAAAGTTGTGCCTTCAAATGAAGTAGAGGTGGTTTTTGGTTTAGATAAAAAGGTGTGGAGTGCATAGTCTTGAAGATAGAACAAGGAAATTTGGTAGAAATGGGAATTTATATAGTATCTTGGCATACTTAAAGTTTCATCATGATTGAAGCATCTTTAGACTTGGAATAAGAACCCAATAACAGTAGAACCCAAGGTATTCTTCTATACATATATCCCTCATCTCACTTTCCCTTATATTACTTTAAACTTTCCCATTTTAAGTGTATACTTCTGCAGGTAGCATAGCGTAAAAGCTGTGGCATCTACAACTTTAAAGATTTTTATCTAAAATTTGCTGAAATTATAGGTTTAGTCATTATCTAACTATTTATGAAAATTCATTACGATGGCATCATTATTAGAGCAAGAAAAGTTAACCTAATAAGTCATCTCTTCTCTCTTATTTCAGAATGGCCTTAGAGCCCAAAGAATTTCTCTAAATATAGTTGCAACATCTCTAATATTTCCCCACTTACATTATTCCATTTTCATTGCCTAGTTCAGGGTTCTGTTAGATTTTCAAGGTGCCCTTCGCCTTGGGGCATCCTCGAGATCATCAATTGCTCAACACACAACGAACAGTGCTCCAAAACCCAATTAAAATCAGGCAGCAAATTTATTAAATTGCCATCGATGGCTGCCAAATTAAAATGTCAACGGCTCCGCCAACAGACAGCCAGACAGACAGCCAGCCAGTGGTAGAGGGAGGGCGTCAGAAAAGTGTCATAAACTTGTTTGACAGATTTCTTTTGATTCATTGGAAACCCTCGCATAAATAAAGCTTGCAAATTTCGGGGCGTGGTCCCAAATGCATAAATATTTTGGCAAACCACAAATGAGATTCGATTCATTTGGCTGTCAACATCACCCGCACAGCAGCAGCAGCGCCAAAGGAATGCAGACCATAGCCAGAGCCAGATCCAGATCGAATCTTGGTTTGCAATCCATTGCATGTGCCGCACTCATAATTCTTTGGTGGAAGATGATGATGATGACATTTAAAATGGGGGAAAGGAGGCGCCAGAATGCGTCCAAGAACTGACTCATGGTATCATCTCTCTGTCTGTCTGGTGGAAAGCAGTAACTAAAGAGCTTGAAGCACCTGCCAACGGGTTCGCTCGTTCGGTGCTGGTGATACCATCTATCAGTTACATTTTTCTTTACGATCATTGCTGCAACACCTGGGGGCGTGAGGTGTTCAGTAAATTCAAATCAAAGTAGAGCCACTTCTGATGGGATTTATTGGGGAATAAACATCCATAAAGTTCTAAAAACTATTGCTCTCTGGGAGCTCCTCCAGGCGCAGCAAATACTCGATGAGGGCACTGTTCACAGCGGGTATCAGTTCATTGATATCGAGCAAATCCATGGCGGGTGACAGGTCAGGATAGGCATCCGAGATGACAGTATACGCCGCTTTGTAGATCTAAAAGCAGGAAGGGGTTTGCTCATCCAATTAGGGGAATATTTTATAGGCCTACCTTTCGGCACTTGTTTACAAAATTACGAATATAAACCATGACCTCTGCTTCCGGCTCACTCTCCTCTCTCTCCGGCGGAGAAAGCCGGCTAGAGAGAAAGTCCAGACTCGATTCCATGCTCAATGCCGGAAGATCGGGGGAGTATCGGCTCCACCAGCTGGCGCACTGTATCCCAATCACCTCGCGGGCATTCTCCACCAGGGTGCGCCGCCGGAGCAGCCGCAATCTCTTTTGCTGGTGCTGGACCTGGTCCAGAGCGGCGGTCAGACCCGGCAGACAGTCGTGCAGCTCGAAGCGGGAGTCGGCGGGCGTCAGCGTTGGCTGGATGTTAGCCTCGCAGTGCTGGCTACTGCGGTGCTGCTGCAGAATGTAGTCCGTGGAGGCCTCGAACTCGGAGAGCGATAGTGCGGAGCAGCTGGTAATGGAGTTGGTCTCCGAGCGATAGCCCCGGAAGACCCGCTGAGCGACACTCCAGTCCGCTCCGCCGCAACAACGATGGCTGCGATAATGCACCTTCGATCGGTGCTTTTTGCGACCACGTTGGCTGTGCATCTTTGAAGGTTTGTGGGGCTTTATGGGGCTGGTAGTGCTACGAAAAAAGGGGATATGATTGAAAGATCCTAAAGGGAGGATAGCATTTCGTACGTTTTACCAGAAAAGCAGCTTCGGATTCCATCGTAGATGCTCACCACAGCCAAGGCCATTTCGAGAGTGGCCATTTTTTTTTGGGGAGAAACTAATAATTTTTACTTGTCAAAACTCAGCGCCTGCTCTGATCCGCCGGATTCTGTGTGGGTTTGCCGGCAAATGCCAGCCCAAAAGTCTCGCAGTTGAAACCAAATTAAAGCCAATAACGGTAAGCAAAGCGGCAATAGCAGTCACCATAATAGTCACAAGGAAGCCGAACATTGCGGTTCATCCCGACTGAAAATTTTGCTATTCATTTTCCTAATAAAACAAAGAACAATTTTGAAATTTTGATTTATATCTGAGTTCCGACAGATCTCAGTCGGCGAAAACTCAAGGCCCACTGGGACACACATGTAATTTATGGCTCACATAATTAGCATTGCAGTCGACGAGTATATCAAAATATTTACGTATCAATTATTATGATTAGAGCGGACTGCCGCTGCCACAGAGACTACTTCCAGCATAATCGATCACTCAGTCGGCGGCTTTCTCATTACCGATATAGATAGAGCGGGAGATATAGATACAGATACGAATGGTTAATACTGATCTTAGGTTAAATCTAATCCGATTGGAGCACCAAGCGACCTGCTGGCGACAGCAACATTTCACTTTTGATCATTATTTGCATTTGCTTTAACCCCTTGGGATAGATCTACATATTTTCTTGAGTCATTTATTAACATTCAGACTTACATCTAATACAAAGTTGAGGGACAAATCTAGGAAGGAGCGTGGATATGGATACTATATAGAACATTAGGTGAGGACTAGGGGACTGCACACTCGTTTCGCTCTCGCCGATATGAGACCAGAAAGAATTATATTTAAGGGGTTGTAAGAGTGAGATCCACCCTATGACTATTATTTTTAGTGATTCTTAAATGATATTTAAAGATATATAAATGAACAGGTTATAGATTCTAAAACCTACTACCAATAAGTCCCACTAGAAGAGAGCTAGTGCTGGAGGAAGCGAAAAAGCAAATTTCGTATGCTTTTTATACACAAAATCGTAGTATCTACGGCTACAAGCCAAGAATTATATGAAATTTTGAGGGGAATATTACAAGTATTCCACTCCCGCTAAAGGGTTAACATGTTTTCTTGTGGCCAAAGACAACAACTTGTTGCTGGTCGCTTGGCTAAAGACAAAAGACAGGCCACTAGATCGGCTCCAGATTGGTATTTAATTGATTCGAAATGATTCGATTTGAATTGAGTTGAGCTGTCTGACGGCTGGCTGCATGTTCGTCGCCATTTGTTGACAGCCCGACTATTACAATTTTATTAACATAAATTACTATACTGGCCACAGATACAGGTACTTTGCGTATCTGAGAGTATTGCTGATGGAAGCCTAATGGCTGCTAATGCATTTCCGATACTCCCATGCTCTCTATCACTCTTTTGATCATCAATTGATGGAAGATCTCCCAGTCGAAAAAAATTAGAAATCAGATAGTTTTTGCTACCAATAAACCAATGGAAAATCATGTCCGCTGACAGAAGACATGACAATGTATTTTGTAATTGAATACGCGACGCGAATGGAACAATTGCAAGCGCGCAGATAGCGATCTACTAGATACATTTCTGTAGACAAGGAAAAGCCGCCAACCTTGAGAGCTGGAGCGCGTTTTTAAACGCCCGAGAAACGCGCGCGCACACACGCAAGGTGTAAAAAACAGGGGGATCAGGATGGGGGAATGCGGGGCAGCTGCCTCACTTATTTCACATATATTTAAATGCTGTGGCAAACACCTCTGTTTCTCTCTCTCGGTGGGTGCATCACTTGCCACATTTTCGGTTTCGGCTTCGGTTTCGTTTCGGCTACGGTTTTTAATTATTTAATCTAACATCTTGCGGATGCCAGAGTAGGAGAGACAGTTGCAGTTTACATGGAAAAAGGGTCAAAGGTCTACTCTCCTCTCGCTCCGCGTCGTTGAGGCGACTACATTAGGCGGGAACACTCAAACTCCCGGGCTAATTAAGTCATTAGCCCGAAAATGTCCTGCCGCACAGCCGCCGCCTGCTCCTCCTTAATTAATCATTTTAATTGTCTGGCTGCACTCTGAAGGATAATCGAGTGGAGTCAAGACTGCGGGGGAGCCAGCAGCTCGCACAGCCTGTGTCGTAGGTTATTTATAGGGTCACTCGGCGGGGAGGGAGCACAGTGAAAGGCCAAGGGCATGGCACACGGACATTTGGCATGTGCTCGCTCGAAGGCGAGAAATTCCTGGGCCACAAAATGTTGTCGTTCAAACTTAATTGAGTTAATTGTTTGGGAGCCACAGACCCACTTTCGGTGGGGGGAAACACTTAAGAAAAGTTGGGAGAAAGAAATTTAAAGTTTACACGAGGGGATAGTACTCTTTAATGGAATTTAAAGACCTTTACCTTATTTATTTAAGAGGTAGCCTTAGTTTTCAGCTAAAAATATATGTCATGCTATTCCTGCAGCCCTTTAAGATTTCCAAAGCAACAGGAAAACCCCTTCAAACCTTCAAAAACCCCTGGTATTTTCCATAGAATTCCAACAAACAGAGTTCCCAAGATCGTTTATCTTCCGCCTTATCGCTAGATAGGGGTCTGATGCAGTCATCAGCCGTGACGTGGTCTACCCCGAAATATGTTTGCCATTTGTCTGATGTATCTAGTATCTAGTAGATCTAGTATATTTTGCACCAAACAGTGGGTGTGTCGGGCCCCATGTGATGGGGGCATTCGGTGTAGATAAGATATGTATTCGAGAAAGAATTTCTTGCTCAGAATAGAACCGATTATATTATGCTTTTGACAGCAGGTGTTTCTTAAGACTTATACCTATTCTATGATGCAGAAATTAGTCCAATAACTGATGAAAGGCTGATTGCTTATCAGTATCGTATTCTGACTGTTCCAATGACGCCAAATTGGAACCTGACTCATTAGCGAGTTCCCCACAGCCCCAAAAAACAATGCAGGTCGGGTTTTTTTGGGTTCTGTTTGCGAGCTGCACTTTGGGCTGAGCTGTTCGTTAGGTTATTTGGTGAAAATCGTGAAAATCGTGCAAATCAACGCTCTCTGGCGAAATACGTAGCTGGTTGGAGGGGTCTACGCGCCAAAAAGCACAAACGCCAACTCAACACATGCCCAATTCCGACAGACCCAAAGTCAAGCAATCGACGACGACTGCAATCGCACCTCACACTCATATTGTCAGAGGGAAATGGCACGTGACAGGGGGATCCATTCGTTGAACTACTCGTAAAAAATTCGCCTGGTAACAGAGGGATGGTGTCTCCACTAGAGGGGTTCTAGGTGAGTTTTTAGTTGGTTTACGGATGGCTTCTGATTTAGGGACTTAAGAACACTTAAGAGTGGTTTCGGAAAGGTTTTTAAATGCCTGCTGGATAGAGGGGTTTAAAGGGTTTTACCGTAAGTTTAGGAAAGTGGTTTTAGATGGTTTTAGAACAATTTCTCGATGATTTAAATATGATTTTAGGTAGGGCTATAGAATGCTATTATAGAATGGTATTAATGATATTTATAACTGCTGTCTAGTTTCGGGCTAGAGAATAAACGAGTCCCGGTTGATTTCAGAAAGGTTTATACTCGAATAATATTATGAAAATATGTGATTCTGTTGTCTATTAATCAGAAAAGTATATCATTCGAAAACGAAACCATCTAACTCACAAACCAATGAAAGAACTCTCCTCAAAAGAAGAAACCCCTAAAACCCATTGACCAAAATTTGGCATCTTAACACTTTCAGTGAGATATTCTGTGTGGTTGGATAACCCCTATCACTCAGTACGGCACCCCCATTACAACCTATATCAGCCAATACGGAATCCCTAGCTTAGATTAAGAATCCATCCATCCACGGCTTCATGAAAAGTATGTAGACGGACGCTCGATCATTCTAAATGGCGGATGAGTTGAATAAAGACGTGCTCGGAAAAGTAAACCATCCAAATCTATTTCACTCTTACATCTGGTACCTGATTCTGATTCGCCCTAAAAATTAAGAGGCGATGGATGGGTTGCCAACAAGGAAGAACTATCAGAGGCCTACGGGCCAACGAAAGAACCACCGAAATCTCGTCCATCCACCCACCCGCTATCATCTCACTATTGGCCTCTCTCCACCTTTCTCTCTCTGTGGTCGTCGTCTCTTTCCGGTTCGCTCGCTCGGGGAGCACGCACGAAGCGCCGAAGCAGATACGAAGGCGGCAGCAGCAGCAGCAGCAGCAGCACTGCCAGCACTAGCAGCACAAGCACAGCACAGTGGGAATACGTACTGTGGAATAAATACGGTGGAATATACGATTCAGTCTCTGACTAGCGCCGGCCGAAGCGGCAACAAAAATACAATAAGCGGAGGGTTCCGCAGTCGCAGTAGCACTCGAAGTCCGCCCGAAAAAATAACCGCAGCATTCGAATATTTTTTCGAATATTTGCCCATCGATCTTTAGCAACGGCGTGTTCGCGTTTCCGCGTTTTCTTCCGGTTTTCCTCATTTTCGTGAAAATTTTGTGCTATCCGGGAAGAGGCCAAACACTGAAACCCCCAAGTTTTGGAGTAAAAAAGGCAATAGAAAATATTGAAAAATATCCAAGTGTTGTGTGCCTCTCGAAAATGAGAAAATTGAAAGATTGCAAGAAAATGTTGAATTGTTGCTGGAATAAGTAAATTCTTGCAAATTGTTTAAAGTGTGCAAAGTGCAAGAGAAACCAACCAAGAAACCAACGCGTTAAAAATAAAGAATCGTAAAACTCACAAAAAACAAAAAATTAAGAGAAATAAACATAAAAAAAGGTGCGTAAAAATAAATGGCTCAAAATGCTGTTACATAAGTATTTTTTTTTTCTTTTGCCTAGAAAAATGTTTGGAAATATTTGTGGATATATTGCCAAATATTTTACGTATTTGTACAACAAATGACTTTTGAGTTCTCAGTGTCGTTTTGGTTTAAAAAAATAATTAATATTTACTGGTGGGTGTTCTATATATTTCTATATCTTTTTAGATAAAACGAATAAATAGTGCAAGTTCCCTGAATTTCTTTCTTTGAAATAATTTTTGTACGATTTGGCAGCGAGCCGAGGAATAAGTGTATTTCAATGAACCATCCGCCTGCCAGGGAAAGTAATTAAATAATAACTTATGCAAATATGAAATAAGTCCATCTCAAAAACCAACAAACAAATGACCAAAACGCCCGAAGAGGAAATTGGCAGAAAAACAAATTTTTCTATTAGCC